GTAACCCACTTGGCTTGTGCACATCTTCGAACTGGTACAATGGTAGGAATGGACTTATTTCAAGGTATGGATAAGTTAACAGCGTTCGAAGCGTTTTCTCGACATGCGTCAATTGTACAGCTGTTGTATATGGAAAGCAAAGCGAAGGCGCTGATTCTTTGTTCCAATCTTATGATAGATAATTTCAAACTTTGTTTACCAATTTGACTGTTTATTATTTCAAATTTATCCAACTTGATATATATTGGCGTACTTAAAAAAAAAAATAAAATGACATAAATCGAGTTAAAGATTAGTGTATTGTGTCATTAGTATGTTATTTATATCGATCACCTCAGATTTAGCTGAAATTAATTGTGAACAGTTTAGCATGACCCCCCACCTCCCCACCCTCGCCGCGGTCCACGAGCCTGCTGAAAATGCAATTATCACAAAACATTGTATTTGGTGATGTCTTATTTTTATTCATTATCATAGACAGTTTGGTTTTTTGGAAGATTGTAACAAATTTGTAATTTTTTCGATCGAATGTAATAAATGTTAAACATTGCAGCAAAATATAAATTCCAGTAGTTTTTCACATGCTACAAAAACATACTTTTCTTTATTTGGCCCGACCACAAAATTAACGAAAGGTAAAAACATCTAAAAAAAACCCCTGAAAAATAGTTTATTGGAAATTATTTGATATACATGTAGATATATTTATCCATATGACCTTAGAGATTATAGTATTGAAGATATTTCCGGTGTGTACCGTGATCGAAAACCCAGTGAACACTATTCTCTGTGTAATGGCGGACCGTCCAACTTCAGATATCTCACTGATTCCGTAGATTCTAAGAGACTTAATACTCAAAAAGCGATGGAATATAGTTTTTTGTGAGTACATACATTATAAATCGTTGGTGTTTTTTTCGTATGAAATGTAATTCATAGGAAACTCTGATGGAGTTTACTGAACGATCAATCATTCATGACCAAATAGTTTATTGCCATTTGTTAATTTTTTCTCTGTCATTTTTGGTTCAAAATGGTGTTGGATATTTTTAACGGAAGTCTCCTACACGTTTTACTTCTCTATTTGATTTTCAGTGTCTCTATTTTTCTACAAAATCGCCATGAAATGTCGGACATCGTAGCGTAAAGGACAATTAAAAGAAAGAAATTACTCAGAAATTCTTTTTCTCCGGAGAGCGAGGGACTGTTTGATTACTAGTAATTCAGATTAGAGACTTTTTGACGAGGGGGAAAAAAGAAAATTCCTTCATTTATGCTTCTTTCATAAACGACTTTAACTGATTGTTTTAAGGGGTGGGTAGGAAGAGCAAAGTCATTTATTAGTTACCTAAAGAGTATTAATAATTGTATAAACGTATTTAAAAAATTCTAGGACTTTTGGGTTTAGTTTTTTTTTCAATCGTATTATTATATTCTATAAAAGAAAAAAATACCTAAGATTATTCTATTTATCATGTGTTAATGTTTACATAAATAAGCTTTCGCTCTTGGGAATGGTTTGAGTCCCAAAAGTTAAATAAATTTATGTCCTCCAATCTTCTTTCCTTCCATCTGTCACACCATGCAAATATATGCTCAGTTTAAGGAGGCGGGGGGATGTTTAACAAATTAACCATCAGATAGAACTTTTTTTTTTTTTTAGATTTTATATCTTAAGCCATTAATTATCATTTTGCATGGAAAAATTGCACACATTTTAGTTTCTAAAATCTGATCATTTATGTATACATGTATCTTCATATGGAACTTTTCTTCAAGAGATCAATATAGTCTAAAAATGGACACAACCTCACTATTCCTATGTTTTGTGTTAAGCACAGTTTTTAAAAAAAATAATTTTTCAAGATTTCAATTATCATAACTTTCACTCTGATACATATTGCAAGGAATTTTTCAGTTAAAGACTATTCACAAAAAGGATCACACTCCATTTATTTCAAGTAAAAAGAATCAAATGATACTGAAAGGAATGAATCTTCTTAACTCTGCTTTCTCGCCCCTTTTCAAATGCAGAATTTTACCTTTTCAAATCATAACATTGTCATATTATAGCCAAAGTCCCCAGACATAGTCTGTATAGATACTCATAAAATATTTTAAATAAAATCGTAAACTTCACTGTAAAAACCCGGCTTAGCCATTGCAGCTATGTAAGTTATTGTATAATTTGAATGAGAAGGCGGAGCGTCTATCAAGCGTGCGATTATTGTGAATACATTAGTGTGTGTTCGAGATGTACTAAGTTTTATGAATAACTGACTCGTAAACAGGTAAAACCCCTCTTATTTCGTGCTAGAGACCGACAAAATATAAGCATAGATTCTTAATTAAATTATATGGCGTTTTTTTTTCTACTAAACTAACAAGTTATATAAATTTGAAATGACTTACTAAAAATTCGTTTATCACCATGGAATCTGTAGAGCATATAACACAGGATACACTGATTGTACTATTCATACGTTAAAGAAACCTTATCATTTTTTTTTGAAAGATTGATCTGATTAAGGTTATTACATTTACATTGTATAATAAGAATTTATTTTATAGCATATATATATAATTTTAAAAATTGTATTTTGTACAATCGAGATTATATGAATATTGCTTTGAACTAAATCCTGTTTATTCTTGCCAGACAAGTTCACGCAGAACCTCTTACCTAAAAATATTTATTAAAATTAAATTTTTATTTAATATTTATATTCAACAATGTAAATTTTTTAACATTCATCGAAAAAACTGCTTAAAAATCTACAAAGAAGCAAGATTTATGAGGGACTATTTCTTGTGGTGGAAGGATATTCAGCAGAAATTTCTGCAAATCTGCACATTTATTAAATTTAATGTCTCAAAACTTTAGCCTCACATACTTTTACTCGGAGAATATTTTCCATTATGATATTGCAGGAATATTTAATACAGGTCTTAATTTATATTTTTAGAAAAAGTTTTACACCTTCCTTCAACAAACTTTGCCAAGAAATGAAGATATATTAAAGAAGTCAAGATAAAATTTACACAATTTTTTACCTGAAAATCACATACTTTGACCAATATTTCAAAATTTACATCACTGACCCCAACTTTTTCTTTCATTATTTCAAACTACTCGATACTTGTGACTGATCAGCACTTAACTCCTAAAAAGCTTGATATAAGAAAAAAATTTATTGCCTATTTAGTTTTTTAATACCCCAAATATGTTATTCTTTAGTGCAAAAAGGTCACACAATAATAAACGCGCATTAATTTTCAAGATTTGTGCAATGATAAATATTATTCAAACTATTTTATGTAAAATAAGGTTGATTTATTAACGTAGTAACATCTGATAAAATAAAATTAGAGATAAAATAATGAATCAAAGAGTTAAAATTTAAGTGCAAAAAGGTCAACTTAATTATACCATAGATCAGTAAGATGCACACTGACCCCCTATTTTCTTTGCGATTTTGAGTCATACTATATGAGTACTTATCCAAAATATACTTCCCAAAAAATCCTTGATATAACAAATTTGACGAGTGACTTACCTTAATAAAACTCAGATCGACGTTTAGATTTTAAAAATCCGCTAAAGGTCGTACAGAATTTGGCGCGCTTTAGCACTGTGACGTAAAAGTGATTCTGTTCGTAATAATTTACGTTATTTATTCGTTACATGTACATTTGGAATATTATGATTCATAAGGAAATTTGATAAATCTGATTAGGTAAGTAAAAGATTAATTATTTTTAATAAATCCGTGCAAAAGGACTCGGTGGTCTATAAGAAGTGAACTAGTAAAACTACAAAACTTATTTATTGAAAAGAAAAACACTGAAGTTTTTTGCTGTTGTTTTTCTAAGATTTTGTTAGAATTATTTTTGTGCTCTGTCTTACTTTGGAAAAAATCTGAAATTCTTTTTTTTACGAAAACTTTCAATAACGTTGCTAAGGGTGATGCAGAGTGAGTCGTTGTGTTGTGACAACAAGCTCATAGTAACGGCATCAGTCGAAGCGAACGGACGTGCAGAGAATTCAGAGCAAAAAAACTGAAAATTGAGAATGAAACGGCGACTTTCATCCGAGGATTTCTGTAGCGAAGGGAACATAATGATATAAATTACCTTTATGAATATTCTTTTAGCTACATAGTTTTCCAAATATGGAATTATTCGTTGTAGTAAAAATTTATGAATACTCCTTAAGATAGATCAAACTCGAAAGAAATGTTCGAGTGTTTAGTTTCGTCAAATTCGCTAGAAATAAAAGACAAGAGTTCCAAAATTCACACATACACATAAAAAAAATGATGGTTAAAAATGTCCATTACGATTTTTTTTTTAATTACGAACGATAAAAGATCATAGACTTCCTGTTGAAATACAAATCATGTGTGCATTATTTAGTTACCCTCGAAGCTAACGTCCCGTGGGGAAAAGCCCGAGTGAAATTTTTGTTTTCTTAAATTTTATTAGAACAATTTTTGAGTTCTATTTTGCTTTAAAAGAGAGAAACAGGTTCGTGGAACGCAGAAGCGATAGTACTTTTTCCCGAGTCTTTCTGCTGTAGTATTTATTTGAAATTTGGCATTTTGAAGCTGCTAGACACCCATACCATTCCATCCCACTAACACACTTTTCCCCCGTACGATCGAACTCGGTAAATTTCATCATGTAAAAATAATTTACCGAAAAGAAAGAATTAGAGACCCCCCTTCCCCAAAGGTATTTGAGTTTCGACATTTTCCTTTTTTATTTAATTTTTTTTTAATTTTTCTTACTTTCTTTTGTTTGTCGAATATTTAGAAAGCCAACGTTACAACAGACATAAAAAATATTTTAAAACCATTTTTTTCCCCAAAGTTTCTTTTTACGAAAATAATTATTGGCAATGACGTTGCTAAGGGTGATGCAGGGTGAGTCGTTGTGTTGTGACAACAAGCTCATAGTAACGGCATCAGTCGTAGAGAACAGACGTGCAAAAATTTCAGAGCGAAAAAATTGAAAATTGACAATGAAACGAAGACTTTCATCTGAGGATTTCTGTACTGAAGGAAACATAATGGTATAAAATACCCCTATGAATATTTTTTTATTTACAGTTTATTCTGAAAATGGAGATATTGAAGGCAATAATTGTTTTATGAATGCATAAAACTCGAAATTTGTCCGAGGATCAATTTAGCCAGAAAAAAAATTCACGGTTGCAAAATTACACAATAAATATTGAAGGAGAAAAGAGTTTCGTTTTTTTAAGTAACAAAAAGCAGTTGTGAAACTGCCTGTGAAATGTACAAATACATGTACCTGTATACTTTAGCTTATTTATTGAGTGATTTTTTTTTTGTTTTACTAACATTTTACTATATCATTTTTTGCGTTCGTTCTTGCTTTGAAAAAGAAACACATTCCCGAATAAGTGATTGGCTTTTTAGTGTAATCGTCTTTTTTACAGTCTAGCTATGTTACTTGGCACTGTGAAGTTGCTTGAAACACCCCCTCCCCCTTCCCAGTTTCGGTTCCTGTACGGTCGATCATGGCAAATCTTATTATTTGAAGAAATGTTCCAAAAAGTTAGAGACGTCCCCCACCTGGGAATAAGATTTTCGAGTTAAGACAGTGTACTTAAAATAAATTGCTGGCCCGGGGGGGGGGGGGGGGGGGGGTGTCTTACTTCCGGGTTTATATTTGAAATAACGTTAGGCCTATGTTCCAATTTCGCCAGAAATACATCCCAAAGGTCCAAAATTATACACTAAATCATGAATGAAAGATGAAAAGTTCCAGTTTTTAAATAAATAGACAATAAATAAACAAATAAAAAAAAAAATAAATGAAATAAGAGCAGTCATAAGACTTCTTGTAAAATGTGCAAATACGCCTTTGAATAAATTCATGGAAAATTAAAAAAAAAAAAAACGAAGTGCTGTTAAAGAAGCTTTACATTTTTACACATAATTGGTTTACAGAAATAAAAAAAAAATATTTCTTATATTCTAGGCAAAGAAACGAAAGATCAGACGAGGAAAGAAAGACTGGAGGAAACCTGGTCCTCGTTCGTCCTCTGACTCCTCCAAAGTTCCCAGGACAGAGTCATGTACATCAGACACCTCTAGCCACAACAGTGAAACTGCAGGCAAACTATCAGCTGCTGAGGAATATGCATTGATTTCTAAGGAGATTCGTGACTTTGAAGCTGCTTGTGCATTAATTTCTGAGGAGATACATGACTTAGAAACAGCTTGTGAAGTTTCGCAGACAGATTGTGCTGCAAACACTCTTGACAACAATGAGGTTGCGGGCGATACAAATGTTGCAGCGGAGCTGCAACAAAATTTTCAATCAAATGATGGGACAATCAGTGAAAGCAACAATGATGCATGTCTTCTCTCACAAGCAGACATTCTTGGATTGTTTCAAGGACTGAGCAACACGTACAATCTAACAGAGGTGTCGCCACAGGAGCAACCTTTCCATGTTGTGTCAGACGGTACCTCTATGTACCTGGTGGGCCCTCAAAATCAGGTCTACATGTCACTGGTACCACCGACTGGAAGTAGTGCTGCCACCACAACAGACTCTCAAATGGTGTGTACCGTTCACGACAGCCCTGACCAATCTAACCAACTCACAGACAACATTAACAAATCGGTAAGTCGGTCTTCTCTCTATTTTTGAGTCTTACGCTCTCTCTCTCTCTCTTTCTCCTTGCTCTTTCTCTCTCTCAAACAAGGTTCTATCTTTTTTTTCTATTCTGTCTTCTTCTCTTTCCTAGCAGCAGTTCATTTCCAAGTCTTTTTCTGAGAGAATCAAGGAAAGGCTTGATAACTGGGTAAGAATTCTAATGGTTTGATATAATTACAGTAACTTGACATTCTGTCCCAGTCTTTGCATTCTCTTTCATGGGGGAATTTGAACTTAAGGTTATGGTCTTTATGGTTAGAAATATGTGTGTGGGTTGTGTGAGAGAGTTAGGGGGGTGATCTCACCTGAATTGCTCTTTTCTTTCAAAACTGTAATCAACTGTTGAAAATTACTCGCAAATCTTTTTTCTTCGTAGAATTGTAATCAATATCATAAAACTCATTTTATTTTGATTCTTTCTTTTCAGTATGATGCGACTATGGATGTTGATCGGAGAGAGGCGGATCTCCTAAGATATCCCTCTCATCTGGTAAGTGTCTCATTTACGTCACTATCTTTCATTTTGCACATGAAGGCAAGAGACTTAAACTAATGATTATACCCAAAATATTATGAAAAATATATCGTTTTTATTAATCTTAAATGTACATCTGTACCATTATTACACCCAGAATGGTTCTAAATTGTTAAAAGGCGACTGAGTCTTTAAAAAACCCATTTGTTTTGTAAATCAAGGGTGGGTTTTAAAAAGTTATTCGCAAATTAGGGAACGATAGGTACAACTAACCCCCCGTAACCCTCCCTCCTTTAAACCATTATTATGGTGTAGATTCAGTTTAATAGTGGTCAATACACTGAAAAATGTAAATGTTTTTTTTAAGCTGGAATGGTCTGAGCGTGTGAAATTCAGTCACCAGCGCAAGTGGAAAAGGCTAAAGTACCACGAGCCAAAGTACAGCGAGTGGGATTTCCTCTGAGAAACTTTTCCATGAATGGGACAGTTTTTTGTGTTGCAGTGCTATAAACTCTCTGGGCCACCCTGTGACATTTTCAGGAATGGGACAGTTATTATGTGTTGCGGTGTTATAAACTCTTTGGACCAAACTTTGACAATCCATGTCAACCCATCATTTGTCTTTCAAGACTTTTTAAACGTTTGAAAACACAAACGTTACTTATTTATTATTTTTGTTATTTATTTTTTTTCTGATTATTTATTAATTGGTTGGCAATTTTTTCTTGGCAAATTATGTTTACGATGAAACATTATTGACAGACAGCTACAGTAAGCACTATGTGAAATCATATGAAACATTTTAATGTTTGTTATCATAATCATCATATCTTGATTTTATCTTTAATTTTTGGCACCAAATGTATCTTCAAATTTTGGTTTGGCTGTGAATCAAAGTGGCCATTAAGAGTTGGTCCTGCATGCTTTAATTACTTGTAAATATTTTAATTATTATAAGATAATTGAATTTTTTTTCATTATTTTATAAATAAACTATATGGTTACATTATCTATCGCTTGCTTTTTCTCTTAAGAAACCATATGAATAAAAACTTATTACACCTTGGCAATACGGTTTGTTCCCGTTTTACACACATTTGAATTTCAGGCATAGAAAAAATGTGTGCAATACGGGAATTTGACCAGGTGAGATGATTAGTTAATTGGTATAGCCTATATCAAAGTTGGTAGATAGGGGAAAGGTGAACCTATAGAACAAATTGACACAAAATGCCATAAAAAAATGACATCTCATCCACATATACAACGAAAGCAGGGGACCATAATTCTTTTAAAAATTTGCTTGTTTGTAATAAGTAACGTCAGGTAAAACCGGAAAAAGTAAGTAACGTCAGGTGCCTGTGACCTAAATTTATATGGATGTAATACATATATTATATATTTTACCTAATGACTGAAACGCGGAGTTTGAAAATGAGAATAGATACAGAGCTCAGTTTTAAGGTCCTGGAAGAAGCATTTATTGGATATTACTAGTTTCATAAAACATTTAAAATTCCGAGAGCCAAACAGATATTTGATAAGATTCAGCAAATCAAAAGAAATATTCAATAAATAAAATGATCGAACTTTCTTTCCGATCAAAAGTCCGTATTGGTTCACTAATGAAGATTTTGCGTGATTTGGTTTTACTGTCCAGCACGCACAGCTGAAACCGGATCTGGCGGAATCAGCAATCCCGGCGTCAGACTGAGAACAGAGTGACATCCTCACACGGGACCGAACAGGTAAAATTTTCTCTAACTGAGCTACACGGAAATTTTGAGTTATTTTTCACCTTTCAATTTTTTTATGAAGGGAAGGAAAAGCTTTTAAATAAAAGATACATGTATATGTGATTTGTGGTTAAATGTCACTTGTTTGCAAAAGTAAGAGTGCGAATAAAATTGCATTTACCATAAAGACACGGCATATGGAATATGAAATTTTTACTATTCTTTATTACAGAAGGCACAAATATGCATTTTCTAAGACGATAAAATCTTTTGATTATAGTTTATTAAAATCACTATTGAATTCGATAAAGTATAGAAAAATATACATGTACATGTATATAACTATATGTATCCATATATTCATATATTCATTCAGTCATCACTTAAGTGATCACATAAAGCACATGAGAGAGAGAGAGAGAGAGAGAGAGAGATTGATTTGGGAAATAGCTAAAAGTTTATTTTACATACGAGAGGAGAGAGAAAAGTTCGTGGACTACTGTCATATCTTTCTTATATGTGTGTGTTCTTTTTCTCAGAAAAATGGATTTAAGAATAACTTTAGTGGTGTGCATTGTCATTAGTGGTCATGTTACAATGTCTTCTGGTAAGTTTTTTTCCAGCTATTCAGCTTGAAATAAACAAAATATCAAAACAATATTTGAAAGATGAATTTATGACGTCACAGATGAGGATATCAAATATAAATAACATTATAGAAACCTGAATTACAGGGGAATCAAGCTGTGGAACTAAGGGAGACGTGGTGTTTTTACTGGACAACTCTGCGAGTGTAGCGAGCTCAGACTTTAAGCTCATGTTGGATTTCGTCAAGGGTATTGTGAAGGAATTTGTGTTGAGCAAAACTCAAGTACAGGTTGGTTTGGAGACGTTTGACACAGGAGTCCGGACCGAGTTTAAGCTTGACTCCTACAGTAACACCCAAGACGTGCTGGACGCCGTGGACAAGGTGTCTTACGTGGGGGGAGGGGGCACCAACACAGGGGACGCATTGGAACATCTTAGACTCAAGTCCTTCTCTAAAGCATTCGGTAAAGAACACATTTCAATGATCGGTTTTGACAGTATATCGACAGCAAAGTGTTCAGAATTTTAAAAAAAGTTTAATTCAAAAGACCGTCTTACTTAAGATGAATAGAGGTGTCTGGAGGTGGGGTTGGTTTTTAAAAAGGAACAATTAAGAAAGCTATTGATCATTAATATATGTATAAACAAGATGTGTTTGTGAAACACTGATTCCCCCGTATGGCAGCTTATAGCTTGCGTTGAATTCTCTCAAATGCATGTCAAACTCCAAAGGTCAAAGTCAAAAAGTCTGTTGGTACCTAAAGGAAGGTCTTGTTACAAGGAATACTCTTGTGAGATATGAAAGCCCTATTTCTAACTGTTCAAAAGTTATGACCAAGGTAAAAGTTTTTAAAAAGTAGGTCAAATTCTTAGGTCAAAGTCAAAAATATTTATACCAGCTGAAATGTCATGTCACAATGAATACACATGTAGAGGAGAAAGCCCTAGCTCCAAAAGTTATGGCCAAGGTTAAAGTATCGTATTTTTTTTTGTAAAAGTAGGTCAAATTCCAAGGTCAAGAGGTCAAATTTGGTGGTACCCATGGAAAGATCTTGTCACATGCGTGTTGTCGGACCCAAGAATCAAACTGTTTGCGATGCCATTAGGTCCAAGGCAGACAGTTTGGTTCGAGGGTCGACAAAACGCATTTTGCCCGAGAACAGAGTCAATAAATGTTTTTTGTTAAATCTTTAAAAATTTGTTCCTATACAAATCTTTACGAAAAAGTCTAACATTCGTAATGTTTTTTCTGAGCGGGCATAAAAAAAATCGATGTTTGCCCGCTGAGTGAGATGTTGGACCGGTCGATTTTCATATATTTTTTTTTACATAATGTCTTCCGTGATGTAAACCTCAGGTCCGTCACTGTTAAACACCAAAGAATGCAAATGAGATTAAGCTCCGCCCATTTTGTGATGTAAGCGGTCCAACATCTCATCGACCGGTCCAACATCTCACTCAGCGGGCAAACATCGATTTTTTTATGCCCGCTCAGAAAAACATTACGAATGTTAGACTTTTTTCCGTAAAGATTTGTATAGGAACAAATTCTTAAAGATATAACAAAGCTTATTTACACGTTTAAATAAATATCATTCATAGTCGTCGGAACCGGGGGGGGGAGGGGGGGCTTAGCTCCCCCACTTTTTTCCAAATATATACTTAGTATACACATTGAACATTGCTTCGTAGGTTTAGCCCCCCTCCACTTTCCACAGACACGTCGCAGTATGGGTTAAAAATGGTGAAAGTGGTGGTGTTTGGAAAAAAAATGTTTGGTATTGAAGTTCGCCCCCCCCCCCACACACACACACGCGTGTGCTTGGAAAATGGACATGTCCCCCCTTTTTTTTTGCTTGTCAGGTTTTTGTTGAAGGTATAGAATTTTGTTTTTTTACAGTTAGCCCCCCCACTTTCAATTTGCTTCCGACGCCAATGTCATTTAAAATCACATTTTTTTCTTTTTATGTTCCGCTTTCACCTGTATGCACTTGCGCTATGTTTTTATCATAACTGTTACAGGCCATCGACCTGGGGTACCCAAACTGGCCATTGTTGTGACTGATGGTGTTTCCTCCTACAAAAACCGCACCACTGAGCAAGCCCGACTGGCCCAGAACAGCGGTATAACGATAATGACGGTAGGAGTGGGGAAAAGCACTGATCTACAAGAATTACAAGACATTGCCAGCGACCCCGACTCCAAATACCTCTTCCACATAGACACATTTGTTGGGTTAAAAATGATTAAAAGCACTCTAGCGGCAGCAACCTGTACAAGTATGCATATCGCTTGGTACTATCGTCACAATTTTGAACATAAACCATTTGCAATTAATACAATGAGAACTAAGCATGTCAATTTTATATGTATTCTGATTATTTTTAGAGTTGAAAGGACTAGCAAGTAAGTCTCAAACATCTTGTTCAAGTTTCACAGTAATTGTCGGAATCAGGATGATATTTTTAAAAATCATCTTTTATTTTTTAACTTCCTTATTTTTGTTGTCTGTACTTATAAGGCGACTGTAGCAAGAAAGGAGCAGCCGACATCGTTTTCGTTTTGGATTCCAGCGGCAGTGTGGGAGAAGACAACTTTGAAAAGATGAAGAATTTTACAATGGATATTGTTGATGAGTTTACGGTTGGGCCTAATGCCGTCCAGTTTGGAATAGTCATATTTAGCACGCCTGTAATTGGCGCCTTCTCTCTGAACAAATACGACAACACAAAAGAGCTAAAGGAAGCCATCAGCGAGATCGAGTTCGTGGATGGAGAGACTCACACGGGGAAAGCACTCGAATTTTTACGCCAAAAAAGTTTCTCAACCAAAGAAGGTAATAAACCGCTTGTCCGTAAGCTCCCAAAGGAATCATTACTGGAGGACTTGTCTAGATAATACATAATATAAGATTCGAATATGTCAACCCTAGTATATAACTGACATTTCTTCCAATAGGAGCCAGGACTAGCCAGAAGGTTCCAAAAATCGCCATTGTGATAACAGACGGGCATTCCACGCACAAGGAGAAAACCCTGGAGGAAGCTACCAAGCTGAAGGTTCAGGGCGTAGAGATCTTCACCATCGGAGTGGGGGACGAAGTGGATGAGGACGAACTCACAAAAATGGCTTCCAACAAAAACATATTCCGAGTGGACACCTTCAGCGCTCTGAATCACATTCAGCCGCTCCTTCTACGACAGGTCTGCACAGGTAATGATTTCAGCCCTCATAAATGAACATTTCTATAACAATTCTGTGTTTTTCTGTATTTGTTCATTCAAATTAAAACAAGGTTAAATCTCTTTCCTTCTCCTAATTTCAGCTCCAAGCAGTAAGTATTGCATAATATACAGTAAATTATAACGTAAAAGAACCAATTCAAGTAATTCCTGATAATTTCTTGCATTTTACAATATTGAGAACATAGTACAAACCCATACATTAAATTTCAGCATGTCTTGGGAAATCAGATGTGGTTTTCCTCCTCGATTCCTCGTGTAGTGTTGGTAAAAACAATTTCCAGAAACTGAAACACTTTGTCAGTGACGTTACATACAACCTTGACATTAACAAGAACGGGGTACAGATGGGAGTAGAGACGTATGAGTGCAAGGTTCACACCAACTTTGAGCTGAAGCGATACCATAACAAAGTTCAAATGCAGAATGCTGTTAACAACAT